CTAGTCGATCTCACCATCAGTTGCTGAGTGAAATTTTTGTTCTGAAGCTGATTTTCTAACTCCTCCAAAGAGTGTTGTGGAGTTGGGGGAATGCTCTTTTCTCGGCCACAGTACGAGCAACAAATACGCCCTAGGACTGGCCGTTTCCCAGAATGAGAGAGTCGAGGTGCCTGAAGGCGCTAAGCTCTTCGACGATGGCTGCGTCAAAGCTGATTGGCTTATCATTTCTATCTGAGATGGTGGAAATGGCGATCTTTCTTCTTGAGACATTGCCATGTCGTCTACTTGTTAAAGAATTTTTTTGCATCTCAACGCACAATGAGGTTTAGAAAGCGACGTCTTCGCATATTCGAGACCAGTGATACGGAATCCGGAGTTGACCTGTACACCAACAGGTTTATGTATGTCAGATGATGTGGCTGACAGATTCTTCAACAGATAGTCTTTCTTTCGAGAGACAGTAACACTTTCTACTGTCAGAGTGTGATGCTCATGAATCTGATGCAAACTGAAATGTACTATTCGACTGGCGATCGTGACAGAAACGCTGTTGCTCTAGCCTTTGGTTTAATTATTTTCCAGTTATATCTTGCTCTGTTTCCGTATTATTGTTATTAATTGAGCTAGTTCTTTTTTAGCCGAAACCAGTAGACGTTAGGGTCATTTCACATCGTATGCAGCGGTACGCCGTTTGGTTCGGTGGTAGCATGCTAGGGCAAACGGTATTTCATGTTTAATTTTTGTGTTTTTGATTTGTAAATCATCTCTTGATTATAGCCAGAGTTCTACGAAGTTGCGCACACAAAAGCCGAGTACATGGAGAAAGGTCCAAGTATCTGCCGTCACAATCCCGTTTTTGGTGCGATGACATAACGTTGTTATCCACTGATGTGCTTAGTTTCTATTCAGTCTGTTTTTTGCATATTATCAAAGCTTGTTTTCTACATTCTGATTCATTGTCTTGGAAAGCGTGATTAATCTAAGTAAAGCCATTTTCTCGAGTTTACTTTAATTTTACTGACAGGTTCAGCGCTTGATTCCATGATTTTTTGCAAAATATTTTGAGTTTATTTGTAACATTTTTTCAAAAGCTTCAATAGCTACCGGCTGTGAGGCGATTCAGAGGCAATGGAGGCAGAGGAGATGTTTTATGAACAACAAGAGTACATCGAGACTGCGTCCGGCAACAAAGTCAGCCGACAATCGTGTCTTTACGGCAGTCAGAATATAGTATTGGTTGGAAAGGTATGACAAATTTTGCATTTTTATTACCTTAAAGGAAGTGCTTAATCGCTCTATGTCGGTACCTCATTTCGCTCTTTGCGCAGTTTATAATTCGCAAATGCGCAGAAATAGGATTATATGAAATATTGTATTTCGCATGAACATTGAACAGTACTTTCGAGTGTCCTGCAGTTTCGACAAAACTTTCTGGTTGTCTGATTAGCTAACCTTCACTTTTAATTATTGTTTAGCACTAGTATTTTAAAGCTTTCTAAGATAACGGTTGAATTAGCATAAAATCGAATTTTTTCAAAGATGTTCACTTCAGTTGCAGGGAGTCGATTACAAAATGGTTGTTTACAAAATGTAAGGAAAAGGCCACGTTCAAAGTGAGATAATCGGTCTGCAAGTATTACGACGCAAAACTGCACCATACTTTTTAGGTTTAACAGCGTTGGGGCACGTAAGAAGCCATTTAAGCAGGTCTCTTAATGATGTTTTGCGTCTGGAGTAGTGGTACTGAGCAGTATATTACTCGAGTCAGTCAATTTCGATGACCGGTTGTCCTTTCTGGTCGCGGAGGTAGGTAGCGTCAGACAGTGTCTCTAACGTTCGCTATCGACAGAAGAAACTCGAGTTCGGAGCACAGTCCGTCGAAGCACTTGCTTCGGGATATTCATGGCCCCCTGGGTCTTGCTCCGGTAGGCTGGCAAGTAGTAGCTGTTTTGTCTGCCTTTCTGAAAGTATTACCAAGACATGCTCGAATCATCGCAGCCGTGACTTCACAGTATGAAGAGGCGATGGACATACACTAAGGCTTTCTCAGATACTCAACTCCGGACTCTTTTTAGACGCGTAATTCCAGTGATTTGTCTTAGAAAACTTGTTTAAGCCGCTTGCACTCGCATCTGCAGTTGTCCAGTCATGGCCCAAAACTCCTGACTAGAGGTGAGCAGATAGATAAAAAATGGACTGGCACATAGAATGCTTCGTTTTTCGACTCAGCTCCTCAGCTGAAAAGCTGTTTAGTCTCAACGGTTCAGGATGGTTCACCCACTGCGCCGCTGACCACTGATTCACCGGTCGATCGCCCAGTTTTATTCGCCAGTAAACAGTACCCCGAGATACCTGAACTTCATTACTTTCAGATCAGAACGGACAGGAGAAACGAGAAAACGTTCGTTCTAGACATTCACGCGCATTCTGGCCACGCCGCATTAGGCTACAAACCTTTCCAACGCCCCAGAGCAGTTTCAGATGCCAATAAAACAACGTCATTTGCAGACAGCAAGCTTCTTGTCTCGATATCTCCTATTGCGATGCATTTATGGCCTTGCAGGCACTTGACTCATCTATCCATGTGCAGCATAAATAAGAGAGCCAAAAGAACGCACCCTTGGCGAAGACCTATGCCAACATTGAAAGTTTCGGCTTAATGCCTTGACGCAGCATCTGCTATCGATATATGATGGTTGGATTGCGCGCAGTGACTGGCCATCGATCCAATGTTTATAAACATACGTCCATAGCCTGTTTCGCAGAATCCAATCGTGGACTTTTTCCAGGTCAACAAAACATGAATCAGGATGAGCGAATTCC